CCTTCCTCGTCTATCTCCATCTAGATCAGTTTTTCATACAGGTCCGGGGACACTAGGCCATAATCAATAGTAGAACTCATCCTTCTGGCCGTCCATGTCGTCTTCCCTATGCATATGTCCCGTGTGTTGACGACTACCATGTCCAGGTGTTCCGTCATGTCTTGCAGCAGGTTTCCCTTACCGTCTGCTCTCCCAATGAACTCCTCTAGGTATGTGTTGTAGTCGCCTTCCATAACGGTAGGTCTCCCAATGTTGTGATAGTCTTTTTCAATGCACTTGATGAGCTCGATGTTTGTCTCGCTGCTATCTACCCCCGTCCACAGGTAAACAACTGCGACTGCCACCTTTCTCCCCGCCAGTATCTCTTTTAACCAGTGTTGTGCCCGTTACCAAAAAAAAGTAACGAAATAGCGTTACTCGTTAGTTTGGTAAAAAGTAACGCGTTATCGAGCTACGTTACTCTTTTACAAACGTAACGATATACCGTTACCGTTACTTTTCAAAAATTACGAACGTTACTTTTACGTTATTTTTACGTTACTTTTCTGTTCGAGTACATAGGTTTGGCAGAGATGTATGATAAGCCTTCTTAACAAGCTTGGATAAAGATAAAAATGTACAGAGTGGTTTCATAGTGTTTTGATGCGCGAAGCAGCTTAATTTTCGGCATGCATATTAGGCATTGAAACTGTAAATTACCTGATTCTGTCTCCTTTAGTTGATACATTTCATTCCGACCTGCTCGCCATGGCGACGGAGTTTCGTTATTCATGCCCATCTCACGCGCAGAACGAGTCGGAGATGGTAGTCAATCGGCTTTTATAAACTACAGCATGCGAACGAGGACTGCTGGAACACAACCAGAAAACCATCACCCTTCATCTGTACACCAGTTTTAGTAACAGTCCGGTTCATACTATTACCAGAGACTGATTTACTTCACTATCTGGAACAGGACACCGGTTACCAGCACACTGGCTATAATCACTTGCTGCCTCTTACCGGCAGTAGCTCTTAGTTTTTCTGTAAAAAAAAAAAGGTTTTGTGTTAGTAAGTTTTCTTTCCAGGTTTAAAGCTTTTTTTTTTTTTATTATGACCTTAGGGAATTAAAGACTAATCAAGCGAAAGATTCTTCTGTGTACAAATGTGGGTCAGGAACTTTCAGGCAGCGAGGGGGAGAACGAGGGTAAAAATATTCCACAAAGGGTGTTTCTTTTTTTTTTTTTTGAAACTAGAGTTATGAGCAAATCGCTTCGCCACTAGTTGTCCACTGTTGTAAACGGATGTCTCTCCACGGCTCCCCCCCCCCCCCCCCCTCGCTGTCCACTTCTGCTGCACAAAGCAGGGGGGAGGGGGAAGAGGAGGGAGGGGAGGAGGCTGTAACGCAGTCGTTCGTTGAAGCCTTGTGGTGGTGACACGATGAAAAAAAGAAAAAGGAGGATGAACGGAAATAGCTGGTAGCCGAAGGTTTGATTCGCCTTCAAAAAGTGAGTTTTTTTGTGTTTTTTTTAACTTTACTTTGACGGATGCTGGTTCCGTGCAGCAATGAGCTAGTGCAGGATTTTGAGATGAGCTCGTGCAGGACTTCACCAGTTTTGGTCAAAAGTAACGAGTAACAAAATTTGACAACCGATACCGTAAAAAAGTAACGGAAATACTTTACTCGTTAGTCATTCAGAATACTAACGAGTACGTTACTGCGTTAGCGAAAAATGTAACGCGTTACCAATAACGTCGTTACTACTAGCGCGTTACTTCCAACACTGCTTTTAACCACATGTGCTCCCTGCACTCTGGGCTTTGTCTCTGCCAGCCTGGCCCACTAAAGCATCCTACCGCCCCCCCCCCCCTCTTTTCCTCCTTTCATTGCCATATCCGTTTGCCCCATCCTAAAATAGCCCTTCGCACTTAGGGGGTCTTTCTCCATCTCTGAGGTGGGTCTCTGTAACAGCGAAAATTCCAATCTTATCATCTTGCAACATCTGAAAGGCCTCTTCCCTTTAGGCCGCTCTACTTCCTCCCTGCAGGTTTAGAGAGGCAATCTTCACTTCTCTCTTTTTCGTTTTCGTTTCTTTGTTTCTTGTTTCCTGGCCTGGTGCATTTTTGTGTTTTCCGCCTTTCGTGTTGTTGCGGGCACCATATCTCTCTTTCTGCCTTTCCTTTGTGGGTACGTCCCTGTGGGGGACACATCGCCTGGAGTTGTCCCTCGAGCCGCTGTAGTCTATGGTCCAGAGTCAGCCTGCCTTCCCTTCTCACCCGCCGCCTTTTCATAGGTGTCGCACATTTCCCTGGCATGCCAGTCCTAAAACAATTTTTATTCCGTTCCCGATGCATGTCCCTCTTCAATTGCTGCCTTTCTGTTGTTGCAGCCACCTTCCGTGTCGTTTCCTGTTCCCGTGTTCTTTACCACCTCCACCCTCGGTACCAGCTGCTAGCTGATCTTTCTTGACAGCCTGTTTCACTTTATACACCTCTCGCTAAGTGAGTCCCCCTTGTCTTTGATTTCTGGGACCTCATACACCATAAAAGAGTGTTTCGGAACTCTCGTGGTGCAGTCTCTAAGCCGTTTCCCTAGCTCCGCTGCGATTTCTTCCACTGCCTTTTCGCCTTGCACGTCTGTCACTCCCGCATGTATGACCACCATCTCTGCCTCTACATTCTATGTTTTTCCATCCCTCTCCGCTCCCTCCAGAGACTCTTTCAATTGTGCTCCTGGCTTAGCCGCAAAGTGAACTTTCTTGTCGCAATCTACCACCTTTAAATTGGCTCTCTTTATTTTGAAGGCATTAGTGTCCCCTATCACTAAGACTCACTTGTCCACCATCTTCTCTTCGTCCTGTTTCTTTGTCCTGTCATCTGGGTCCGTCCTCTGCCTCCTGAGGGCCTCCTTGTAGCTCCTGAACATGGCCTCTTTGTGTTTGGCATCTAGTCGGCTGTCCCTCTTGCTCCGTTTTCAGTTCTCCGCTTCCCGTTTGTTCTTGGGGAAAGCTGCCTGTCTCTTTCCCGTCTGTGCGGTATGTCTCCTTTTCTTTGACTCCGTCTCCCAATTCCAACTTTTGCGGCACGTTTTCTGGCCCGTTGATCGTTGGTTGCGCTGGTTTACACGACTTGATCCAGTGATTAACCACTTCCTCTAAGTGTTTTTCTCTTGCACATTTGCTCCTCCATTATTGCTCTCAATTTTTTCTCCGCCGACTTTCTCACGCACCTCTCTTCCTCGAGCTTCGCCAACATCTTACTTTCTACTGCCGCTCTTTCTGTTTTTGCCTCCTACAGCTTTACCCTCATTGCCTCTCTCAGGGCATTAACTTGCCGTTCGATGTCTTCCTCCAAACTGCTTCTTCTCGCCTTATTTTCCTTGCACACCGTACATTTGTACGTACTGCTCTCTGCCTCCATGTATGATTCAAACGGTTGTCTCGCTGCTATCTACCCATTTCTCACAGCCTTCGGACCTACTGCCGCCTTGTCCCGTTTTTCATTTTCCCCTTGACCGGTTGTCTTTGCTCTCCAATGTAAAGTCAGGCTGTTGAGTGTCTCCTTGCCCGGTTTCCGTGACGTCCCGACCACCACCCCTAGATTCCATCGCTTTGTTGTGCCCGACACGCCGCGTCGAAACACTTGCGCACTATTGGACCCGGTTGTTAGGCCTAACTTTTCGTTGAGCGCTTCGGAGGATGGGCTTCGTGGTCGCCCCCACGGTCACGGCTCCGCGCCAGACCCAAGTGTCCGGTGGTAGCGATCTCAGCATGTCTATATATACATCTTCTAAAAATGTATCCGCCACACTGCCGCCTCTACACTGATAAGAAAAATATATTTTACCGCTGGCGATTTGAAACCGCCATTCTACCCTTGACTTCGAAGATATGTCGGTTTGTTGAAGCCAGTGTTGCCCCTTTACTTGTTGCATTTGGTCGCGTTTCAACCGTTTAAACTAAAACCATTTTCGTTTTGCGAAAATTTGTCCTAACTTAAAACGTTATTTTGTTTAACAGTTAATGTAAGGTAGACAGTATAAAACTGAATTATTTTACATATTTTACTTAACTTTAATGCTTGAAATGAAATGCTGCTACAATTGAGCCACATCCAATCCACACAGCTACTCAGTCAAAGTCCTATGGGAGCGTACGTGTGCACCCATCAATATTTTGGGAGAGAAGGATACGAATGATGGGAGTAAAAGTACACCATTTGAATGGCCGCCAGGTGTCTCTGCTTGGAAATGGGTGTGAGCCCGATACACCCACATACACCGTTTTTTTCTTAGAGTGCAACACAATCCTAGAGCCACTAAATGAGCTATATGCTTAAAGTATCGCAACGTTGTAGTATCGGCACTCTGTTCCCCGATATTTTTATGGGCGCCGCCATCTTGGTGCTTAGTACAGAGCAGACGCAGCTGCCGATCGTAAAGGCCCCTATGCAGAGTTGCATTTGATGGCGTTTGACTGCGTGTCGGCTGCGAGAAAACTAGGACATCCTTTCTTCTGATGTCGAGTGCCAACCTATTCCTTGAATTGGATTCCACGCTTCCTACGAAACACAGATGTGCCGATGACTCGCTTTCGACTGTCGACACAATGCAGTAAAACGCACTCAAACACTCTCAACACTGCCAATCAAGGCAAGCAGCGCATGCGCTCTAGCGGCGTCTCTGTTGCGGAGAGCGTAGCGGAGTAGGGAAAACGATCTACGAAAACTCCCCATGACTTTGCTCCGTCGCCAACTGTTCAAACGTTTGTGGAGGACGGAAAAGCATCTCCTGCGACTTCAGGTTAAGCTTTAGATAACTGGCAACCATGATTTTAAGCCCCAAGATGGGTGAGTGACGTTTCTCATAAGCGTAGCTTATTCAGTGGCACGGCGCAGCGGCAAAACAAATTCCTTATATCTGTTTCTGCGTTTGGAGTCTGCATGATTCTTCGCTTTCCCGATTCACCACCTGCCCGGGCTCCTCAACATTTTTCAAGTTTTACGTCAATGTTACGTGGCAGATCCGCCAAAAGCGCGCCTGGAGCCGTGCCCAGCAGCCTCGACCTGGTCCTGCCTGCGCTGCGCGGCTGTGTCCAACCCGGAGCCATCGGAGTTTACTTGGTTCAGGGACGGCATCCGCATCCAGGGCCAGGCGTCGGCCGTGCTCAGACACCGACAGCGCCCGTCTCGCATAGAACGGTTCCAGTGCGAGGCCCGAAACGTCCTAGGTACCGGTAGGAGCGAACAACTCGCCTTGCTGCTCCTCGAACGAACGGGTGAGTAACCTATCTATACGAAGTGCAAGTACGTCTGCTTCATGCCCAGGGGCTGTGACAACGTCAAAACGCCGACCTCTGATTGGCTCCGAATGGAAGGACAATGGGTAGACCTCGAGGCAGCTAGGATTGAGGTCTACAGCAACTATCTTTCCAATCAGAGTCAATCAGAGCTCAGCGTTCCGACGTCATTGCAACCCCTCCGCAAGAAGCAGACGAACTTGCTCTCCGCAGGTGCCTCGAACGCGTCTTCGACTGGTGTTTATCGTCCTATACGAAGAACTAGTCGTCTGCTTTTTGCGCAAGGGTTGCGGTGACGTCGGAAAGAGGCTGAGCTCTGATTAGCTCTGATTGGAGGATAGTGGGTAGAGCTCGAAGCAAGCTGCCTTGGGGTCTACCCACTATCCTTCATATAGAACCAATTAGAGCTGGGCGTTCTGACGTCGCCACAACCCATGCTAAAGAAGCAGATGAACTTGGGCTCCGCATTCCCCTCATGCACTGAAAGTCGTCCCGAAGTGGCAACAAATCACATCACAAAGGCCGAAGTGTTGTATGCTGTAGGATGTCGCGATCCTGATGGTAAGGCCTTGAGTTTTGGAAAATAAGCACGATATAATGTGCGAGCGTCGCTGTCGTCACGGCGTCTCAAGTCCTGGCTGCCGAAGCTTGCGTGAACCGTCAAGCTGGAGAGCGACCTGCGGCAGATCAGGCGTCTGCCCTGTCTTCCTATTGGCTCGAGACGCTGCAATTATTCATTTGTGCTTCCTCACTCTGAATGCTTTCATTTCAAGGTTTCAGGACGTTGTAACTGTACCGTGACTTGAGTGGAGGCTTCAAACTTTCTATTAGTGATCATCATCATCATTATCGCCACCATCATCATCATTATCATCATCACCACCACCACCAATACAACCATCGTCGTCGTCATCGTCATCATCATCATCATCAAATTTCCTTTGAGTATTGTTCATACTTTGAGGGTCCGAACAATACTACCTACAAGGCAAGGCCTGTGCATGACGTCGTCGTTAGTGAATCCCCCGACACGCCCCAAGCGGAAAACAGACTGAAGGCCAAGAGACTTCGCAAAGCTGCAGGGGGGAACGGCGCAGGCCATTGTCTTCTAGATGGTATTGGTCCAAATGGGTATTGTACGAGGGAGACGACATCGCGTGCCAGGTGGGTTTTTGAAGTTAAGACCATCTACTTAGGCGCGGTCTCTGGAGTACCCACGCAACTGGTGGCCGCTGTGCTCGTCCTGCTTGTCCTGGTCGTGACCCTGGTGTTCTTGGTATGGACTCGGCTCAGAGGACGGCTTCCGGGCTTCGCTGGAACTCGCTGCCAGGAGGCCAGAGGAACCGTCGCTAGCGCTCCATCTGGCGGAGCTCGACGGCTCATCCACGCGCCCGCCTAGGGCGGATTTGCGGAAAATAAATGGGAAGCCTCCGATTTTGTTGTCACTTTCTGTCTCTTATATACGTGCGCCATTCACTTATAAGGCTGCGTTCTTGTTTCTTAAAATTTCAGGGTAGGGAAGCTCAACGGGACACGAACGAAGTGAAGACGAGACAGTACACAGCAAAACACTTGAGAGTGTTTTTCAAACTTCCTCGTTGTGATGCCCGTCGGAACTGCAATGATGGCGTTTTCTGCTTTGTCAATGAGAACGAGAAAGGGTGTCATCATCCAATAGACACGCAGTTTCACAGTGCCAAAAATAAGAAAAAAGAAAGCGTCAACGTTTGAACCTATACGGCTATTGGAAGATGGTACTGATAATCTAGAACTGATTAGACAATGACCAGTTAGTGTTGATTAGAGTGCTATACGGAGCAGTATAAATATACGCAGGAGCTTTCGCTTCGTGATATGTCCTTCGGAGATCTTAACGGCTCCCCAAGTAGCGCAGAGAATCGTCGCGACAACGGGCCGGCCCCAAAGAGGTTATCGGGTCAGCGTCGTGTGCCAGTTTCGTCCCAGTTGTGGTTTTGCTACACCATAACGAACCCGGCCCGACACCAGCCGCCAATTCCGGGCCGACAGCGGCTCCGCCCCCAACAAGTACACCCCTCGCCCTCCTTCGTATTCGGGAAACCGTCGGCTACCACCGGTCCAATCTTCCCGTTAGGAACCAGCGAAGTCCCAGCGACGGCCCGACATCGTGTGCTACTTGGGTAATGGCTCAATCTGATTGGTTGCAGAGTGATGATCTCATTGGCTGCAGCGTGAAATATATGCTTGGGACCCGCCACGCGCCCTGCGTTTGGCTCTGACGTCACGTCACTGCGGTGGCGCTGCTGTCGCTTCTCCCGCATCTGGTTTGTATACACGTGCAATGCCCACACCTGGCGTGGGCAAACGCTTGACTCGTTGGCAAACACTGCGTTTTGCGTTTAGGGTGTACATTTCTAATAGTATACAAAAGTCCTAATGCTAATTAGATTTTTTTTTTTTTTACAGTTGAGTTGTTAAGGGCTAGTTTCCCCAGGACCGTGTCCAGCACCAAACAAATGTCGACACCCATGGCCGACACAACACTCTGGTTGCCGCCGTCGCTCATAGATGGCGGTAGCAGTCCAAAGTGTTGTGTTTGCCGGTTGTCTGCTCACCGCCGTCGATCATGGATCGGGGCAACCTTCGGAGGAAGACGAGGGGGAACGGAACGAGCGGCGATGTGCGCAGCAGCGCGAATGGTTCCGCAGCCGCCGCGAGGCCGCTATCGCCTAAAGTTCCACTGCGTCAAGCGCTCCAGATTCCCTTGCGAAAAAAAGAGCAGATCGCTCGCCTGGAACGCCACCGCCGAGAACAGAAGCTACAGCTCCGCCGCCCTTCCTTCTTCACCAGAGTGGAAAGGCTCAAAGTTATTTCTAATTCTTTTTTTAACCCTAATGTACCGGGTGCCTGCACTGGGGGCTGAAGCGATTGTTTTTTCCGGGTATTCTGCAGTAAAGTGTAGACGCGCGTGCATTTGTACGTATAGAGTGCATAACGTGTAAGGTGCGCATTTTTAAAATAGTATATGTATTAATTGAGGTCTTTATAAGGTAGTTTTTAAGCCACGTCAGACTGCTCTCTTGCGTCGTTGCTCCAGATGAGGTGCGTCGTCGGAACGACACGAAAAAAAATTAGAACGATAGACAGGTTGCGACAAGTCGACCAAAGTCACGCATTTCTGAGAAAATAATTGATTTTGTGTGTATGTGCGTGTGTGCGTGCGCGCGCGCGTGCGCAAGTGAATGGAAGCGTGTACAAAACAGGATGTCGAGATTAGAAACTGCGCCCCGTTTTGTTCCGTCGAGAGACAGCTGCAGCAGTGGCCGCACCTGACGAGCCCTCTTCGTAGGGGTTACGGATGAGACGGCCCGATTACCATTGAATCAACTTGTGGCAAGCCGAAATTGCCCTGCTCTTAATTTTTTTCGACCGCTGCCAAAAAAGCAGTTACACTATTTTTCTTTTCTCTATCTTCCTTCACAAAAAAAGAAATCTCGCAAAAAACAAAAACAAAATCCCGTTCGTGGTAATCTTTAAAAATTAAAATTCGAAATCTAGAATTAGTGATATATGTACTGCGTGTGTATGTATGTGTGTGCACGTGCGTGCGTGTGCGTGTGTTGCCTGTGCTTATGTCATTTGTTTACTACATAGACATTGTTACTTTCTATCCTCTAGCCGTAAAACTGCTATTAAATATATAACGCAATATTTTTTCTCACTTGAACTACTGCCATTTAGCTAGGGGGTACAACAACTACAACTAACCTGAAAAGTACGTTTGTATTGCATAAAATAGTACTAAGAATCATGCGTAAGGTGTGATACGATATTTATACCGACCCACTGTTTGAGAGGCTTTGTAAAGATATGTCGACATTATGGTTGTAGACTCACTGTGAAGTATACGGTACAAAACTATGTCATAAATTCTGTTTATATTTACTTTTTTTAGAGCGAGAGAGAGAGAGAGAGGAATTCAAAATTCGAAACTGAGCCAATTTTGACGGAAATTCGGAGTTTATCTTGGGTCCATCGTTTCCAAGGTATTAATCTAAACTCAGTCATATTAGGCGAGACAAAATCAATGTAAAGGTGGCCGTGATACAGGGCTAAAGGCGATAAGCACACATTCCTGTTTATCTCAGTTTCGCTTCACGTGGATGTGGCCCTCTTTAAAAAATTACTCCCCTGCTATGCTTAGCATCACTGAGGCAAGAAAAGAAATTACAGACGTATACAGGTCAATGTAATGTGAAATTAAAACGCAGCTCTTGAGGTGTATCTATCTATCTATCTATCTATCTATCTATCTATCTATCTATCTATATATATATATATATATATATATATATATATATATATATATATATATATATATATAGAGAGACAGAGAGAGAGAGAGAGAAAGAAGAAAATTATCCACGAAAAGGCATAACAAATGAATGTAATAAGTCCAACGTATTGAGCGGGGACCGCTCTTTGTCGGGGTGATTACCTTCTTTGTTTCTCTAGATTGATCCCGTCGTCTTCCATGGTCTTGCTGCCATTGCAGAAAAAGTGTCCCTGGCGCGTTTCCACTTCCATCACCAAAACGCCAAGAACAAAACTAAGAACAAATAAAAAACAATATAAATGATTAGCGGGTTTATGCTGCTTTTTTTAGCCAAATGAGTATGCCCGGACTTTCATCAATCCCGTGGGTAAGTGATTTGAATTTATAAATAAAATAGCCTCTATTAGTTTTCTTTCGCGATTGGAACTGAATCCTGATTGAAGAAGCATGACTGTTATTGCATCAAAATTGTGGTCCGGTAGGTTCATCTGTTCGGAAAATGGGAGATGTGGGAGGGAGTTGGACGTGTGATTTGTGATTGTTAAATCGTAGTCTGAAAGGAGTTCCGGTTCGGCCTATGTAGTCCATATCGCGCAGGTTGCATTGTAACACGTAAATGACGTCTGCCGTATCGCAGTTGAGTGTTGCATTAATTTTAAAAGATAAATCTGA